ACCAATGTATGCATAGCTTTGTGAGAGGATTCTGAAGAAAGTTTCAGACAGATGACAACTGTTCTAATATAAGAGTACATTATTATGAACAAACAAGGAATCACCATGGCGAAGGTCAAAGTCATTCCATAGATGACATTAACTGTTATATCATTACAAGCAAGTGGTTGTAGAGACACAACATCACAAAAGACATTATTGATATTTACCCCACAAAACGTTAGTCTTGTTGTCAACAATACACTCACAGTTACTATCGCCACATTGAGAACATATATGGCAAGTAATATTTTTTGAGCTGTAACATTGGTCATCAGACTGTGGTATCTCAGAGGGTGGCCTACAGCCAGATATCGATCATATGCCATTGCCGTAAAAGTGAACATTTCAACCCATGAATAAAGCTGGAGACAGAAAGATTGACAGAGACACCCTGTGAGTGAGATGGTTGAGCATCCAGACAACAAGTCAATGGCCAGCTTGGGGAAGTATGATGCATTCCCCAACATCACATTCATAATCAAGAGGCATATAAAGATGTACATAGGTTCATGCAAGCTTTTCTCTGTCCAGGTTACATAGAAAATGATTGAACTCATAAACAATGTGACTGAAAATATGAATGCAAGAGCCAAAACAGCACATAGATATCGATATGATTCAATCTCAATAAGCCCCACCAGAACAAAATTGGTAAAAGTTACAGAGACATTCTTGGCAGAGGAGTTCATGGCTTGGATTTATGTCTTGAAAAATCAGCAATTCCTAAATTGTTCTATTCAATCTAAATACTATAAATGTAAAAATGCAATTCATAGAGGCCCTGTGAATATGTGTGCGACTCCTTTCGCAATGCTTTTCTCTTGAATTCAGTTGGGCTTTTATAGATTTCATAAAGCTGCCACCTCACTCATTTAAATTTAGAAACTTTCTCAGTGACTGCATCCAAGCCTTTCAAGTGGACCACAGCTGTTACAACTGCCACTAATGGCCTAATTAGCATCAAAATAGAATGAAGTAGTGTGCATTTATTTAACAAGCTTTTCCAAAGAGAATTGTGAAAAATTATCAAAAGCAAAGAGAAATTTGGATTAAAAATTGAACTGAACTTAGTTTTTTTTATCATTCTAGTTTAAAACTCTGCTCTTTTGCTGGTTTGGTGGTATTGATTGACTCAATTACACACAATCAAGTATTGAACTCAAAGCAAGGTGAATGGCTTACATCCATCACTTCACCTTAAAACCAACAATTTTATATTATTATTCTACAAGGGCTCACTATCACTGAAACCTGACAACATGCTTGGAAGATGTCTTTAAAACAATTCTAAAGGCAGAACATTTCTTACCTTAATGCACTCCCTGAATTAAGGTAAACAATGTCCTAGTAGTTGCATTGCCCCCACCCATCTTATACTACCTGAGTCCTATCTCAATCCAGCGATGTGCCCATCTGCTGTGGTGCTGTCTCTGTCCCTCTCCTCACAGCACACAGAGGGAGCAGTGGGAGCCATTGGCTCCTGCTGCTGTCAATAAAATGAAATCCTGTGAGGAGGGAGTGGGGGCAGGGCTAAGTCATGCTGTGTGTATCCCCCATAGCAAGCAGCTTGGTATGGTGGCGCGCAAGCAGAAGAGAAGGAACCTAGAGCACCAGCAGATCTCAGAAGATAAGGTTTGGGGCGACTTTGTGCAATACCATTTCACAGAGCAAGTAAGTATACCCTGTCTATTATTTTAGAAAAAAAACAAGTGAAGCCTTTAAGCTGCATATGGTACAGCACAATTTTCATGGACAGCTTTAGCAACACAATATTCTAGCATCACATATTTTGGATGTATAATTGACTTTTTTTTTTCACTTTTACATTTAGAAAAAACACAAGAACTAATGTGACTTCAAGTCATATGACTATATAAACCCCATAGCATAATAATCTTGGAATATCACCATATATACTGTACCCTGAGAGAATACACAGAGCATGTGCTCAAATGGCTCTAATATTACCCATCTTATAAAAGGGTGTATAGCCTAATGCTTCGTTAAGGCCTGGGGGGGAAGTTGCATTTAAAGTATATATCCATCTTGTCTCTTTTTGCAATACCTTTTGATCAAATTTCCACCCTGTGGATCCTACGATACCCTTTCCAGGGCTGAAAATCATATCATATCATATCTGTATTATGACCATGTTTCAGAGCCATATGTCTTACAATGGGTGTGTAGAGGAAATTCCTTCTAATATAGTTGTCACGGACCTTACTTGTGAGCCTGATGGCAGAAGGAAGGCCTCTCGTACAGCTCTGGTTTGAGGGCCACTGAAGGTGGAACAGCAACCACAAGAGCGCAGCGGAGTATGAATGCCTGTTCAGTCCTGTAGTCTGTGCAGGGATTGCTGGCACTTTTCTGGGAGATGGGATGGCTGGACCGGCTGGCGGAAGAGCAGACTAGCAGCAGAGCAGGCAGGCAGGCAGTGGAGCAGGCTGGTAGCAGACTGTATGCAGGGTCAGACAAGCCGGGTCGGTAACAGATAAGCGGATCAGACTTGAACGTCAGGCAGAAGAATGGTCGGGTCACGAGCCAGGGTCAGTGTTGGTGGGAGCAGATCAGGCAGAGTCAGAAGGCAGAGGCAGAGTCCAAGAAACAAGCTGGGGTCAATCACAGGTAATCACTCACAGGAACAGGAATACAGGAGAGGTAGCTGCAGATCAGACAGCACAGGCTAATAGTGCTACTGGGTTTTAAATAGTCTGATTGGCGGCAACATTAGCAACGGCTGTCATGTGTGTGCGCACGTGTGAACACAAATGCACACGACTATGTGCAGCAGGACGGGCCCTCGCACATCTGCGCCTGCGCCGCTGTGCACTATGGCGAGCATCTTCCTGAAAATAGTAAATGTGGTCATATATCCTTCTCCAAACGGTTTTACCCATATAAAAGGCACCACATTTACATAACATAATGTATATCACACTTTTCGTTTGACAGTCCATAAATGACCTTATCCTGTGTATTCCCCCTTTGGGTAGAGTTATAGACGTCACCTCCAAAATCCATGCACAATAGTCACATGATCCACATTTGAATGTGCCCTTTCTCTCCTCAATATTAGATGACCTGTCCTGAAAATGACTCCTAATCAGGCAGTCCTTGAGTGATTTAGACCTTTTAAATGTAATTTGGGGATAATCCCTAATATATTTGTTTATAATAGGGTCATCAGTCAATAGATGCCAATGCTTCTGTATGGCATCTCTAATTTTCTGGTGTTAATTAGAAAAGGTAATAAAGGTAATAAAATAGTAACAATCCTAACCAGATCCTGTTGAATGCTTTCCTGTTTACCAAACAGCAAAGTGTTCCTCGTCTGTAGTTTTACCCTATTATAGGCCCTTTTAAAGGACCACTTTTGAGTATCCCCTCCTTAATAATTTCACCCTCAGGGCCGCTGCTTCCTTCTCAAAAAGTTCCTTTATAGAACAGTTGCGCCTAATCCGTAAGTATTGAGAATACGGTATACTCCTGATTAGTGTCTGTGGATGAGCACTCCCTGCATGCAAAATAGTAATCCACACCATAGGCTTCCTGTACAACGTAGAGCTCATAGTCCCTTCCTCCTGGGTAAACAGCAAAATATCCAAGAATGAGAAGGTATTGGGGTCATGTTGTACAGTGAATTTGAGATTATAGCTATTATGATCTAACAATTTCATAAATGCCTCCAGGGAACGTACATCAGAGTCTCAGATAAGAAAAATATCATCTATATATCTGTACCAACAAAGAATATTGGGCAAATATAATGCATAGGTTTCATCCAAGAAGGACTGTGCTCCCATTCCCCCAGGTACAGGTTCGGGTAAGATGGGGCACAGCATGTCCTCATCGCCACCCCCTGTACCTGGAGGTAATGGGAGCCATCAAAGGTAAATACATTCTTATTCAAGATATGTTTGAGTAGATGCAAAATAAAGCTATTAAAGGAAAAACTACCATCTCCTTCTGATTTAAAAACCTCCCCACTGCACACAGCCCTAATACATGAAAATGCGGCAGTATACAGGTAGGACCTCCACATCAATGGAGACAAATAGGATGTTATCCAATTTCCGAAGTAGATCTGGAGTATCCTGTATAAACAATGGAAGAGTATCTACATAAGAGCGCAAATAAGCATCCACTAACTGGCTTCCCTTCAGCTTTAGCTCCTATTCCAGAAATAAGAGGCCTATCTGGTGGTTTCTCAATATTCTTATGTGCCTTAGGAAGGGCATAAATGGACAGGATCTTCGGAAAAGGCACCAGTAACAACGCATAAAGTTCCTTATCAATCGCAGTGTTAATATATGCTTCCTTCAATAGCTCATCAAACTCTTTGTTAAAAATAAGTACTCTCCTCAGAGATTAGCCTATATTGTTTCTTATCAGATAGAATATTGAGTCCACATATGGTTGTAATTATTATTATCCATCACAACCACATTGACTCCTTTGTCTGCCAGTTTTTATTGTAAGAGTATTATTCTGCTGCAATCCTTCAAGTGCCCATCGTAGAATAAAGGTTAAATTATGGTTAGAGGTCCGAGCCAGGTCAAACTTTTCATATTTCCCTAGTGGTCTGAGTAAGACATGTCCAGATATTGGGGTTAGTTTGTAAAGAGGGAAATTTAGAGGATTTTTTTTTTTCCAATAAAGATTTATTTGAGCATCAAAAAACATAAACATAGACAAAAGCATGGGTTGTATCGATACAACAGTTTGCTAGAAGCATCTAGCCTTATAAATAGAGATGAGCGAAAGTATTCAAAAATTCGATTCGGCTGATTTGGCGAATTCGAGGAATAAATTCGATTCGATGCGAATATATTCGCTGCGAATTTAACTTATAAAAAGGGTTTCTAGGCTTCAGAGAGCCTTTATATATAGTGCAGAACACTGTACCTTTAATTAAATAGCCCTTGGAGTCTGCTGGGGAAGAGAAAAAAACTGTCAGTCAGTATGACAATGCAGATGAGTGCCGTCGATCTTAGAATCACCGCACACTTCACTCATTTGGGCAGTCACGGGGCCAAAACCAGAGTGTGGAGCCACAGTGTGGCGGTGGAGGCAGCAGCAATGGGAGGCCCATACGCACCCTATGACAACAAAAATGGAACCCACCAGCAGTGTGAGGAGACCTGAAAGTGGCACATGGCAGAGTGTGGCGATGGAGACAGCAGCAATGCGAGCCGGGTACAGGGACCCATGACACACTCTGGACCTGGCAGCAGCATGAGGAGGCGGTTACGGGGGGCCCATGGCAGATTACGGGCCTGGCAGCAGCAATGGGAGGCCCGTAATCTGCCATCCTGGCCATACATCCCACGCACCCCCCCCCCAGCCACCCTTATGACAAAATGGAACACACCAGCATGTGAGGAAGACCTGAAAGTGGCACATGGCAGAGTGTGGCGATGGAGACAGCAGCAATGGGAGGCCGTACAGGGACCCATGACACACTCTGGACCTGGCAGCAGCATGAGGAGGCGGTACGGGGGCCCATGGCAGATTACGGGCCTGGCAGCAGCAATGGGAGGCCCGTACTCTGCCAGCACCCTATGACAAAATGGAACCCACCAACAGTGTAAGGAGACCTGAAAGTGGCACATGGCAGAGTCCTGCGATGAATTCAGCAGCAATGGGAGGCCGTACAGGGACCCATGACACACTCTGGACCTGGCAGCCAGCAAGAGGAGCGCGGTACAGGGGCCCATGGCAGAGTGGCGAAGCGTAAGCAGCTTAAATTGAAGGCCGTACAGAGGCCTATGTTTAAAAATAATGAAACATGTTTTGTGGCATGATTCAATGGCGGATTTAGTCAGTTGTGTCAGGAAACTGGTGGTTTGAAATACAGACTACTCCACGCCTGATTCATTTTTCACAAACGTGAGTCTCTCCACACTTTGGGTAGGACAGTCGTGTCCTCACGCGGTCTCTTTACAATACCTCCTGCCGCACTAAACATGCGCTCCGATGCCACACGCATACTGGCCGGGCATGACAGGCCTTTAAAAAGGGCAAATTCAGGCTAGTTGGGGCCAAAGGTCAAGTTTCGTTGGCCCAGTAGTCAAGGGGATTGTTTACCTCGGTTGGCAGGGTGCTGTCCAAGTAGGCCCGAGCCTTATTGGTTTGAGGTCCTGCTCCAGGTCCACCTGATGCTGCGCTGCTGCTGCGGCTGGTTAAGTAGTTTCCTCACTGAGCGCTGGTGAAGAAAGCTACTCATCATCGACTGCAGACTGAGGCCTGCTGCTGGTGGTAGCTGCCACTGCTCCTACCACCCCACCCCTCCCCTGCTGCCATGCAGCGGAACGCGAGTGCGCACAGGCCCCACAGTGTCTGAGGATGGACGTTGGCGCAGAAGGCAGAGACCAACTGACTACATAGTGGTTTTATAGTACGTTATTTTGTGCCCTCCCTCTCAGCAGGTGTGAAAAAGGCCACCATTTATTGAACGTAGCGAGGGTCCCACAAGGTGGACAGCCAAAAGTCATCCCTCTGTCTGATGGGTATATATTCGCTGTCGGTACGCAAGCAAGCGAGCATGCAATGGGCCATTTGTGCCAAGGAATGCGAGGGACTCCCTGCCTCCATCTCCAAAGCATACTGCCACGGTGCTCGTCTGGTTCCTCTGTCTCCTCCTACTCCTCCTCTACCAGATGCTCCTGCTCCCTCCACTCCTGTCCGCTGAGTGGAAAAACCACCCATTTTCACTCAATAATTCCTGAGCACCAATGACCTCCTCTACCTCCTCCTCTTCTTCCTGTCCTGCACCCCCACAGGGGTCATGTGCGTGAGATCTGTGCGCCACGTCTACCGCACCACCCTGACCAGCCATTGTTACCAGCATTTGTTCCCGGACGACGTGCAACAGAGGAATGACGTCGTTCATCCCATAGTCCCTGCCGACTTCACGAATAGCGTGGCCTCCTCAAAGGCACTGAGCAAGCGGCAGGTGTCACGCATGAGCAGCCAATGGCTGACATCTAAGTTTACACACTGGGGAGTACCTTTATCCCGCTTGTAACATCAGGAAATCTGTGATGGCCTTTCGCTGTTCGTAAAGGCGTTAACATATGTACTGGGTTGAATTCCACCTTGTTGCAACGTCACAGCATGAGGAGTTCGGTACGGGGCCCATGGCGAAGATTACGGGCCTGGCAGCATGCCAATGGGAGGCCCGTAATCTGCCACACCCTATGACAAAAATGGAACACACCACATGTGAGGAGACCTGAAAGTGGCACATGGCAGAGTGTGGCGATGAGACAGCAGCAATGGGAGGCCCGACAGGGACCCATGAGAGACTCTGGACCTGGCAGCAGCATGAGGAGGCGGTACAGGGGGCCCATGGCAGATTACAGGCCCTGGCAGCAGCAATGGGAGCTTCTAATCTGCCAGCACCCTATGAAAACAAAATGGAACACACCAGGCAGTGTGAGGAGACCTGAAAGTGGCACATGGCAGAGTGTGGTGATGGAGACCGCAGCAATGGGGAGGCCGTACAGGGACCCAGAGACCTCTCCTGGACCTGGCAGCAGCATGAGGAGGCGTTACAGGGACCCATGCCCGCAGATTACAGCCTGCAGCAGCTAAAAGGGAGGCCCGTAATTCTTGCCAGCATCCTATGACAAAAAATGGAACACACTCAGCAGTGTGAGAGACCTGAAACTTGCACATGGCAGGAGTGTGTGCGATGGAGACAGCAGGCAATGGGAGGCCGTACAGGGACCCATTAGACACTCTGTACCTGCAAGCAGCATGAGAGGCGGTAACAGGGCCCATGCTGGCATATATCCTACAAGGCCTGCTGCAGCAGCAATGGGCCCCGTAATCTGCCAGCATCCTTGACAAAATGGAACACACCAGCAGTGTGAGGAGGACCTGAAAGTGGCACATGGCAGAGTTGTCGATGGAGACAGCAGCAATGGAGGCCGTACAGGGACTCATGAGAGACCTGGACCTGGCAGCAGCATGAGAGGGAGTTAACTTTACAGGGGCCCATGGCCGATATTAGCGAGCCTGGCAGCAGCAATGGGAGGCCCGTAATCTGACCAGCACCCTATGCACAAAAAATGTAACACACCAGCATGTGAGGAACCTGAAAGCAGTCACATGGCATAGTGTGGAGATGACAGAGAACAGCAGCAAAGGGAGGCCGTAGTGCCAGGGACCCATGAAGAGGACTCTGGACCTGGCAGGCAGCATGAGGAGAGCGGAAAAAAAACGGGGGCCCATGGCAGATTACGGACCTGGCAGCAGCAATGGAGGCCCGTAATCTGCCAGCACCCTATGACAAAATGGAACCTCACCCAGCAATGTGAGGAGACCTGAAAGTGCACTCATGCGCAAGTGTGGCTATAGAGACAGCAGCAATGGGAGGCCGTAACAGGGACCCATGAAGACTCTGGACCTGGCAGCAGCATGAGGAGGCGGTACAGGGGCCCATGGCTAATTACAGGCCTGGCAGCAGCAATGGAGAGGCCCGCTAATCTGCCACACCCTATGACAAAATGGAACACAGCCATCAGTGTGAGGAGACCTATGAAAGTGGCACATGGCAGATGTGGCGATGGAGACAGCAGCAATGGGAGGCCGTACATGAGGACCCATGAGAGACACTGGACCGCTGGCATCAGCAGCATGAAAGGCGGTACAGGGGCCCATGGCAATTACAGGCCTGCAGCAGCAATGGCCCGTAATCTGCCAGCACCCTAACAAAATGGAACACACCAGCAGTGTGAGGAGACCTGAACAAGTCAGGCACATATCGCAGAGTGTGGGCGATGGAGACGCACAATGGGAGGCCGTACAGAACCCATTAGACCTCGTTACCTGCAGCAGCATGAGGAGGCGTACAGAGGGGCCCATGGCAGATTACTGACCTGCAGCAAGCAATGGAGGCCCGTAATCTGCCAGCACCCTATGACAAAATGGAACACACCAGCAGTGTGAGGTAGACCTGAAAGGCACATGGCAGAGTGTGGCGATGGAGACAGCAGCAGAGGAGGGCCGTACAGGGACCCATGAGAGACTCTGGAGCCTGGCAGCAGCATAGGAGGCGGTAGGTAGGGGCCCATGTGCACAGATTACAAGCCTGGCAGCAGCAATGGGTGGCCCGTAAATCTGCCACACCCTATGACAAATATGGAACACACCAGCAGTGTGATGAACCTGAAAGTGGCACCATTACAATGCCGTGTGTAGGCTGAGAGACAGAGCAGCAATGGAGGCCGTACAGGACCCATGAGACACTCTGGACCTGGCAGCCCTGCAGAACGAACCGCCATACATCTTTATCACGGTTTTCCCAGGCCACCCAAATGGCGACGCTCCCATATCTGCTGACGCAACGCTGTATTTCCCAACATGGGCCCCCTGGCCACGCTTGACTTTCTGGCCACATTAGTTGACATAACGGCTACGTTTTACTTCCTCGGGTCATGAGGCTTGACAAAAAATTGGCCAAATCTTCCCGCCGAGTAGAAACTTTGCCCCCCGCTACTCCTCACTGGCTGACTGCTACTTCCTCTGTGCACCACGCCGGCACCACCACTTGGCCGTGGTGGTAGGCTGCAGTGGAGCTGGTGCTCTACTCTCCGTGGCTGTTTGCCTCCACTGACACTGCTGCGACTCCCTGCTGCCTCCAAACCCACCGACCTGTTTTGCCGCTGCCAAGCTTGGCACCCTCTCTTCTCCTGATGATGCGGAAGCAATAGCCTGATGACGACGAGGCTGCCAAGTGCGATCAGCCTCATCATCATCAATTTAGGTCTCCGCCTCACTACTAGCCCCCTCGGGCTGCGTGTGGGTCAGGAGACAGACCTGTCTCTAGACCGCTACCGAGCCCTCTCTCGCCAGTACTTCTTCGCCTGGCTGCTGAAAGGCGGATGTCTCCCCCCGTTCCTGACCGCCCTCTGTTAGCTCTTCCTCACTGTACAGTGGGGCTGAGCCCACAGCATGCGATACAATCGCTTGGTGAGGGAACACCAAAGGACAGGGGCAGGTAGAGGACATTCGTGATTTCAGTGGGCTTGCTCCCGGGCATAAATGCCAACTAACGGTTGTGTCTGACGTACCCCACCGAGTCCGTTGGCTGTAGGTGTCCAGAGGTGACCTGGAAGAGGAAGACGACCGAGCCTAAACCAATCGATGACGGCAGGGTTTGTCGGTCCTATAGACATGACCGCTGGCTGACACCGGGAGCACTGGCCTCATGCTGCGACTAGTGCTGCCTCGAATCCCTTCCTCTGCTGTCACGTCTAGCTCGCTCCTAAAACATTGCCTCCTCTGCCACTCCTCTGCATGTTTGTCTGACATACTCTTTAATTTAACGATTCTGTGTCCCCTGAGTAACAATCTCTGTGTCCCCTCAGTAACAATTCTGTGTCTGTCCTTGATAACAATTCTGTGTCCCTGAGTAACCAATCTGTGTCCCTGAGTAACAATTTCTGTTCCCTGATAACAATTCTGTGTCCCTCAGTAACAATTCTGTTCCCTGAGTAACAATCCTGTGTCCCTGAGTAACAATTCTGTGTCCCTCAGTAACAATTCTGTGTCCCTCAGTAACAATTCTGTGTCCCTCAGTAACAATTCTGTGTCTGTCCTCTGA